TGGGCTTCACTAATTTTACCCATGGGGAAATCGAACCCGGGCCTTCGACGTCACGAGCGAACGTTTTAATCACTAGGCTACCCCACCGCCCTATTCGATGTGGAACATCACATATACAATATAGTACTTGTGTTGCAACGAACATGACATGTTTCATGGAAGACATCATAAATTCTGTATTTATCATACAGAAAAAACACGTACAAACAGCAGAGAAACATTTGGACCTTCAAAGCTTACGTCGACTGACCTGACCTTTCTTATTTACATATACGTACGCCATTTCCTGCTATTCATTTGATAAAAGTCAGGTCACACGTGAGAGGTCAAATATGCGGCAGAAGCAAAGGCAATGCCCTGCATTATTTTAAGGACGCATTTGGTGGTATGGGTCGGCGTCCGCATTAATTTGCTAACGCATTATTTTCATGACTTACAGTTTATCTTAATCTTGCTCTTTCCAAGTTACGCCTAGTTAGTACTTCAACATTACTGTCTCAAACTCCCGCGCCTATGTCGGTACATGAGTACTCAACAGCAATCTCGCCCAGCCACAGACACGGGAACACCCAATATAGGAAATTCTCATTTTTGATACTTTAAACATTGACAAATTACATGTATTTATTACGCAAGTGTCCATTTTCCACACTTAATTATTTCCCGAAACACGACACTACTTTGATAAATGCTTGGATTTGGGTTAATGTTATCGTTTAGCTCCGCCTTGTTTGATCGGACCTGTGCTCGAACTCCAGCGTATATGTTCAAGACACTGCATCGATACAGTTATAGTTTTTAAAATCGATCCGGTATTGATTGATTCTTGCTGAGTGATGATCTAACCTTGTGAGAATGATGGGAACTGATACCTATGCGCGGATTACATAAGAACGACGAGGATGAGTGTCGGATGACGTTTCTAGTGAGTTGTATATTTCATTTTCCTCTTAATAGTCTGGTGATTTACCTCAGGTATAAGGTACTTCGTAAAATGTAAATATAATACTGTATAGCGCCAATATCCAGCTCTGCTCAACTGCTCAAAGGTGCTTTGTTTTTTCCCTTGATCATAGGATGTCAATCTCAACGGCACATCGTATTTTTCAATCTCAACTCCCTGGGGATCATACCACTCTTGCAGCCATTTAGGCGCACAAAGTTAATGTGGCTTTCCCATACTTACAAGGTATCCATTCACAGCTGGGTGGACTGGGACACACAGTCAAAGCACTTTGTCCAAGTTTACTGCACGTTGCTGTACCCGCAACTAGGTGTTTGCATGTATTTATGTGGACACCACCATCTGTTCGTTTACGGATTCGTGGGTTCTTTTAAGTGCACATGGTTGTGTACTGTACACTAGGGGTTGTGACAACACTGAAAGAGTCGGCACACAAAGTTGACTCTAAGGTTTTTACACCCGGCCACAGGTGGGCTCGATCCCGGCATCTTCAGCTCGTTGGATCACTAGATCACAGCTCGCCAACCACGATATTCAATTTCACTTTACTTTGATATTTGATATACCAATCGATGGTCCATATTCATTTTTATATTATTCATTTATTCATATTTTAGTATCAGACCAACTTCAACGTCAGATAATCTCTCTCAATTTACAGCCAAAACAAATTCCATTCGATGTAAATGGCAAATTGTAAAAAGATATTATTATTGAAATATGTGGTAAAGATTATTTACTGGTAGCACCCGTCATTTCAGGAATGTCTTTTAAAGTTCTGCATTATGTTTAACCTAGAATATTGTGCATGATGGATGCTTGAACAACTGAGTGTAGTTTTAAGCCGCTATGAACCATAACAGGGAACAGTAGTGAATAAGTTCACACATGCTAGCTGTGTAAGGAACAAAACACGGGAGTGAGTGAGTTTAGTTTTACGCCGCACTCAGCAATATTCCAGCTATATGGTAGCGGTCTGTAAATAATCGAGTCTGGACCAGACGATCCAATGATCAACAGCATGACCATCAATCTACGCAATTGTGATATGATTGCATGTGTCAACCAAGTCAGCAAAACACGGGAATTCGATGTGACAACAAACATGAGTATCCTGTTACCATAGACTGACTGACTGACTGAGTTTTGGTTTTACGCCGCTTTTAGCAATATTCCAGCAACATCACGGCAGGGCACACCAGAAATGGGCTTCACACATTGTACCCATGTGGGGATTCGAACCCGGGTCTTCGGCGTGACGAGCCAACGCTTTAACCACTAGGCTACCCCACCGCCCCGTTACCACAGACTCTAAATTTCATAGCTAATATATCGTGACCCGAAAATCACATTAAATACTGTTAAATTGCTGCTTAAGAAGGAGAGGATCAGATTGGGGAACATCTTCCTTCCTATGCACTAACGTATCGTTTTGGGAGTGTTGCGGTTTTAAGCAAGGTTGTGTAAAGTACATCATTACACAGTGTGTCATCAGCAATAGCTATCACACTCTCTCCTCTGTCTGTGAGTCGGTTTAGTTTTACGCCGCTTTTAGCAATATGGTAGCCTAGTGGTTAAAGCGTTGGCTCGTCACGCCGAAGAACCGGGTTCGATTCCCCACGTGGGTACAATGTGTGAAGCCCATTTCAGGTGTCCCCCTTCCCACAACGTTGCGAAAACGTTGTGTGTTATTTGGTTCCAAAGTGGGAAACCTCTGAGAATTCCGTTACTTCGGATCTTACGGTTCATACGTTTCCTCAACGTTGCAACGTTGTGGCATAACGTTATAAAGTGGCGTATTGTTAACGTTGTCACATGACGTTACCAATCTACAACCTTCCCACAACGTTGCGAAAACGTTGTGTGTTATTTGGTTCCAAAGTGGGAAACCTCTGAGAATTCCGTTACTTCGGATCTTACGGTTCATACGTTTCCTCAACGTTGCAACGTTGTGGCATAACGTTATAAAGTGGCGTATTGTTAACGTTGTCACATGACGTTACCAATCTACAACCTTCCCACAACGTTGCGAAAACGTTGTGTGTTATTTGGTTCCAAAGTGGGAAACCTCTGAGAATTCCGTTACTTCGGATCTTACGGTTCATACGTTTCCTCAACGTTGCAACGTTGTGGCATAACGTTATAAAGTGGCGTATTGTTAACGTTGTCACATGACGTTACCAATCTACAACCTTCCCACAACGTTGCGAAAAACGTTGTGTGTTATTGGTTCCAAAGTGGGAAACCTCTGAGAATTCCGTTACTTCGGATCTTACGGTTCATACGTTTCCTCAACGTTGCAACGTTGTGGCATAACGTTATAAAGTGGCGTATTGTTAACGTTGTCACATGACGTTACCAATCTACAACCTTCCCACAACGTTGCGAAAACGTTGTGTGTTATTTGGTTCCAAAGTGGGAAACCTCTGAGAATTCCGTTACTTCGGATCTCCCTCCCACACGATGAACACCGGCTGTGATAACTGAAATGAGGCAAACCACTAAACTAGTAAAATGCCCAGACCCTAATAAATAAATAATACAATAACACATATTAATATGCTAATGAACATAAACAAACTTACAGCTCGTTCAGCTTGACCTGATCAAGTGAATACTAATACATTGCGTGACCGTGTCACAACTGGTTGGGTCTATTATTGTGAAGGGGTGCATTGATTGCCAACATGTCCGAACAGTCGACACAAGGTTGCCGTTTGACACCTCAGTGTCGAGAAATCGTCAGCAATTTCCTAACTTTCTTTAAAAAAGAAGCTTTATTGTTTCCGATTCGAGCTTTTAGGCAGCGAGCAGCAACATTAATAACATACTTTGCTCCCGTATTTAATGAAGTTAACTTGACCTGCCGTTTGTGCCATTTGACCTCCCATGCATATGTAGAGTAGCTCAGGTCAAGCTGAACAAGCTGTACCTGTCTGAACTGATCTGATGACGGCGATGACGTTATGCATTTTGAAAATTGATCTGGACAATACAGACAAACTATATGAATAACAGCTTCTTTTATTTCGTGAGTGCGAAGTTTCGATACAGCTTCTTGTACCATTGTCAAGTAGGGATGTCACTGAAGTAAGTGATCTGGACAAATTACATTGAGGAAGAGCGGTGAGGTAGTCTTGTGGTTAAAGCGTTTGCTCTTAGCACCGAAGTTCCGGGTTCGATTCCCCACATGGTTACAATCTGTGAAGCAAGTTTGAGGTATTCAATAGGTATTTGCTGGAATATTGTTAAAAGTGGCGTAGAACGCTCACCCATTCTAAAACTTAAGGAAAAGGTTTTGTTTTAAAAGTTATATTTGGGATTCTTTCTCAGTACTGTACCGTACAGATTCTAGTACTTTTGTTTGGTTGCGTACCATCCGGGATTCAAACCCACACCCTCAGAGTCAGGCACCTAATCGCCAGCACACAAAGTCAGCCGCCTAACCCACTCAGACACCGTGGCTGCCGATTAGGTGCCTTACTCTGAGGAGGTGGGTTCGAATCCCGGATGGGACTCAACCCAACAAAAGTACTAGCATCTGTACTTTACTGATAAAGTGTAATCCCAAATATAACATTTGTCACATTTGACCACTGGTTTAATGGGGTGTTTTGCTCTTATTTCCGATGGGAGTAATTGTCCAATAATACCCCAGTTTGGAACACTGGACTTAAGTAAATGGTACTTTGTATTTATCATACGTCCAATGTGATATACACACACGAGCTATATGTGCTGTTACAGAAATATCACAGTTAATTTCCTTGTAGGATCGATCCAAATAGGAGATGTCAGCTCAGGTGACCATCGTCACAATACCGCACATACAAACACAGTTTCTATTAAAGTGGGACTTGGCGAATCGGTTTAATTTGAAATAAGATATCCATGCTCGCAGCCATGTATTGTATAAGACCGGAATACTTCAGCGCATCGTCTCTATTTGAGTCAGTGAGTGAGTGATGGTGGTAGAGGGGTTGGTGCAGAGGGGTGAGTGATGGAGAGATGGATGGAGGGAGTAAAGTGATGGAGGTTAAGGACGGAGAGAGTGATGGAGGGAGGGAGTGATGGATTGGGTGATGGAAGAAGGGAGTGATGGAGAGAGTGGTGGAAGGAGGGAGAGATGGAGAGTGATGGAAGGAGAGAGTGATGGAGACATTGATGGAAGGAGAGTGATGGACAGAATGATTGAAGGAGGGAGTGATGGAGAGAGTGATGGAAGGAGGGAGTGATGGAAGGAATGATTGAAAGAGGGAGTGATTGAGAGAATGATTGAAGGAGGGAGTGATGGAGGGAATGAGTGAAGGAGGGAGTGATGGATAGGGTGATGGAAGAAGGGAGTGACGGAGAGAATGATGGAATGAGGGAGTGATGGAGAGAGTGATGGAAGGAGGAGTGATGGATAGGTTGATGGAAGGAGGGAGTGATGGAGAGAATGATGGAAGGAGGGAGTGATGGAAGGAATGATTGAAAGAGGGAGTGATTGAGAGAATGATTGAAGGAGGGAGTGATGGAGGGAATGATGGAAGGAGGGAGTGATGGAGAGAGTGATGGAAGGAGGAGTGATGGATAGGTTGATGGAAGGAGGGAGTGATGGAGAGAATGATGGAAGGAGGGAGTGATGGAGAGAGTGATGGAAGGAGGAAGTGATAGATAGGGTGATGGAATGAGGGAGTGATGGAGAGAGTGATGGAAGGAGGAGTGATGGAGAGAGTGATGGAAGGAGGAGTGATGTATAGGGTGATGGAATGAGGGAGTGATGGAGACATTGATGGAAGGAGGCGTGATGCAGAGAGTGATGGAAGGAGGCGTGATGGAGAGAGTGATGGAAGGAGGAGTGATGGATAGGGTGATGGAATGAGGGAGTGATGGAGACATTGATGGAAGGAGGCGTGATGGAGAGAGTGATTGAAGGAGGAGTGATGGATAGGCTGATGGAATGAGGGAGTGATGGAGAGAATGATGGAAGGAGGGAGTGATGGAAGGAATGATTGAAAGAGGGAGTGATTGAGAGAATGATTGAAGGAGGGAGTGATGGAGGGAATGATGGAAGGAGGAGTGATGAGAGAGTGATGGAAGGAGGAGTGATGGATAGAGGTTGATGGAAGGAGGGAGTGATGGGAGAATGATGGAAGGAGGAGTGATGGAGAGAGTGATGGAAGGAGGAAGTGATAGATAGGGTGATGGAATGAGGGAGTGATGGAGGTGATGGAAGGAGGAGTGATGGAGAGTGATGGAAGGAGGAGTGATGTGATAGGGTGATGGAAGGAGGAGAGATGGAGACATTGATGGAAGGAGGAGGCGTGGAGAGAGTGATGGAAGGAGGAGATGGGAAGAGTGATGGAAGGAGGGATGGATAGGGTGATGGAATGAGGGGAGTGATGGAGACATTGATGGAAGGGAGGGTGATAGGAAGAGATGGAAGGGGGAGTGATGGATAGGGTGATGGAATGAGGGTGATGGAGACATTGATGGAAGGAGGGAGTGATGGAGAGGAGAATGATGGAAGGAGGAGTGATGGATAGGGTTCATGGAAGGAGGAGTGGTTGGATGGGGATGATGGAAGGAGAGGGTGATGGAGAGAATGATGGAAGGAGGGGTGGAGGTGGAAGGGAGAATGATGGAAGGAGGAGTGATGGAGGAGAATGATGGAAGGACGGGAGTGATGGAGGGAATGATGGAAGGAGGGAGTGATGGAGAATGATGGAAGGAGGGAGTGATGGAGAGGAATGATGGAAGGAGGAGTGATGGATAGGTTGATGGAAGGAGGGAGTGATGGATAAGGTGATGGAAGGAGGGAGTGATGGAGACATTGATGGAAGGAGGAGTGATGGAGAGAGTGATGGAAGGAGGAGTGATGGATAGGGTTCATGGAAGGAGGGAGTGTTGGATAGGGTGATGGAAGGAGGGAGTGATGGAGAGAATGATGGAAGGAGGGAGTGATGGAGAGTGATGGAAGGAGGGAGTGATGGAGAGAGTGATGGAAGGAGGGAGTGATAGGGAGAGTGATGGATGGAGGGAGAGATGGGGAGAGTTAAGTGATGGAGGTAAAGGAAGTAGAGAGTGATGGGAGGGAGTGGTGGAGACAATGATGGAAGGAGGGAGTGATGAGAGAGTTACGTGATGAAGGTAAAGAATGGAGTGAGTGATGGAGAGAGCTCGAGGTGTTCGAGCTACAGGCAAGCCAAAATCACATTATAACAAGTCGCGCTTATGTTGTTGAACTGGAGAAACACAATGGGCTTGCAAAACAAACGTTAAACGTGTAAACCTGGCGCAACCGTAGATCAGAATACAAACCCTGGTAGAGTTTCAATCGATAATTTGAATCATTCTGTTATTAATAACACAAAGTGAATTTGTGTTTGTGTGCATGCTTGTAGTTTGTTTCCTTGTTCTTTAGCCTCCCACTCAGCAATATTCCAGCTGTATAGCAGCAGTGTGTAAATATTCAAATCTGGACCAGACAATCCAGTGATTAAAAGCATGACCATCGATCTACACAATTGGGATACGATGACATGTGACAACCAAGTCTTAACACCCGATCCTGTTAGTCGCCTCTTAAGACAAGCATGGGTTGCTAATGGCGAATTCTACCCGGATCTTCACGAGTTCCGTGCCTGTAAACAAGGGCATGCATATGCATGCGTGCACTCGCGTAAACTTATAAGCAAAGTATCGAAAACATATTAATAATTAACAATTCGGCTCAGTTTCAAGTTGCTGTATTAAATGTATATATTAAACATATTTTGTCTGGACAAAATATCCTGAATCAGCAATGTTTCCAAGGTATTTCGACTCTAGGTACACTATTGAGTTTGTTTAGATATTAATCAAAACATTTTACATAAATGTAATATGAACGTCCGTATTATGTCAGTCTGTGCGGCACATGGCGCTATGATATATGGCTGTGGTTTGGTGCCAACATAATTATTGCATTTGAAATACTGCACTGACTGAGTTATAATACTAATTTAGGAATAGGCCATTTGATAGTCAGGGAGGAGGCATTTTGATAAAATTGTCCCCCCGAAGTTGGTAGAAATATAATGTCCTCTTGTTATGCAAACTGAACAGAAATAATCTACAGAAACTTTTGCCCTTTGCCTCGTTTGGTGTAACTTCACCCCATTACCAATCCCTACCCTAAACTCGACCCCCACCTTAAGCCCATTTCTGGTGTTCCCCGCCGTGATATGGCTGGAATATTGCTAAAAGCGGCGTAAAACTAAACTCCTCACTCACTCACTCACTCTACCCCCACCAAACTGGCATGCCCATTACATGCATTAACGACGCATGAGAATAATCCCACAGGCCCTAGTGTCTTTGCGAGGATTAAAGATTAAAGAAAATTAAAATATAAAAAAATTGAGATGACCCTCGACTCGAAATGCTTCGCTGTACAATAAAATCGTAATAATGATTATTGTACTATGAAGCATTTCGAGTAGGGGGTCATCTCATTTTTTTAATATTTTAACAAAAATTAATCTTTAATCATCACAAAGACACGAGGGCCTGTGAAATAATCCCTCTGAATTCTCAGCTAAAACAGATTCCACTAACCAAACGGATTCAACTGGGCCAAAAAGGCAAAAGAGCGGTAGCAATTAAATGAACGGATTAGATACGACACCGGGTGTTTGGGAAATGGGTGAGCATGTACTGCCTTACCTCTAATGGAAGACTCAAAACCGTTTTGTCCCTAATCAAAACATCCCTTTGTCCCCTCCCCTAGATTATTCCACGGTTGTATCCTTACAACATGTGTTGTGTCTCACCAGACTGCATGATTCATTAGTTGTCATGGACGAGAAACGGAACACTTTATGTGTCATGCGATATACTCAAAGTTGCGCCTCGTAAAACCAACAGACCTTGGATACGCCATAAAACTGCAAACAACACCAGGTCCCATTTTTCTAAAGCGTTTTATACATGCTCTAACGCAAACCTCAGATAGCCATAACCCTAAGATCGCTTTGTCGTACCAGCCACGACTGAAATTCGACTGTACATAACTTATGGTTTAATCATGTACTCTCAACAGCTTCATGCGAGGACTCTGACGCAGGAACACCCTGCTGTATCCTTTTTGCTGTAGGAGTCGCTTCTCCACTGCAATGATAATCTTTGGTTGGACAAAATGTTTCTCCTGGTTGAATTTTTGTCACAGTCGAGGGTAGGATTTGTGCTCTTCTGTCAACCATTGGCTCATTCTCGAATTTTTAAAAACGGACTTGTGGGATAGAAATTATTCAAATAAACATTACTGAATGGAAATAATTCACGAAACAATGTGGATTTGTTCGCAAAAATGTAGTTAGCTAGTTTTATTTTAAAAATATATATGCAACTAATCCACGGGCAATGCAAGTCGCTGTGGTGTAGTATAAAAACAAATGCTGACTGTAGCTGTTATAGACCGGGTTTGATTCCCTATGAAGCCCATTTCTGGTGTCCCCCGCCGTGGTATTGCTAAAGGATTGCTAAAACGACATACTTAAATATACAATATCAATGCCCGTCTCGATTTCCAAACGATCTGACCGCCTCCGTGGTGTAGTTGTTAGAGCGTCCGCCCGGAGAGCGGAAGGTCGCGGGTTCGATCCCCGACCGCGTCATACCAAAAGACGTTAAAATATGGTACTTGTTGGTCCCTGCCTGGCGCTCGCCATTAATAGGTACAACAAGGACTGGTCGGCTCGGAGTCAGTATAATGTGTGTGAGTGGGGTATTCCTGCTTCACTGCGGTATGGTATCTCAGTGGGCTAGCACTATAAAACCAGCTTAAGTCTGGGCTAGTACAAGCAGCCGCACATACACATACACACGCATGCACGTCGTCACATGAGCGAAATATTCTCAAGCACGACGTAAAAACCAATTTCACCTCACCTCACCTCCAAACGATCTTCTTTCGGCTTGAAGGAAAAGTAGCGTTGAAATTACATCGAGCGTGGATCAGACAATCAAGTGATTCTGCGCAACGAAACTGACCACACGTCATTTGTAGTTTCTTAACATAGAAATAGATGTTGAAGATCAATTGAATGGTGGATCTTCACGGATAATCATTCTTTCTTCGTAAGCATCTTCTGTTCTAACGGTAGTAACAATTTAAAGGCACTATATCACACCACACTTCTCTAAAAATAAATAATGCATTTCTTTCAATACTAACTATCAGCCCTCAGGGAAGCTACCATATAACTTATTCCAAAATGTTTACGTATTTAGATTACAATGTTAAATTCAAAAGTTTGAATGAATTAATGCAACGTTGTATTAAATCGACTCTCGCGCCCTCTACCGCCGAACATTATTTCAAGCGAACCCCATAAAGTTATGTCCCTTGGAGCGCTCTTTTCGAATATCCTACGCACAACGTGTGATTGAAACCAGTTCGGCAAACACCGACAACACCGCTTGCGATAGTTTTCGATGTACGGAGCAATTGCTTACATTCCACATACGGCAAGTGATCTCTGTTTGGAAGTTGTTCGCTTCGAAGTTTCAATAATCGCTTTCAGGCAAGTCGTAAGGAATAATAAGTCTTTTATTGCATCAATAGGAAGCTAAATTGAGAGCATGTGCCACAATGTATATAATATAGGTCAAAATATTGTCGAAAATGTGTGACATTGTGCCTTTAAGAGTTAGTGTCTAATTACGTGAAGCAGATGTTCAATCGATTATTACAATTACACTCAGCTACAAAAATACAAACTGACTCAAACAGTCCATTTCCGTTCTACGTCAGAAAACAATATGCATTCATGTATGAAATCGCATCAATGAAACATAGTGTTGTTCTTCACTACAATAAAATGAAATAAAAGTACCCCTTTGTCAATTTTTTGTATGTTTACCTCACTACAATAACTATCCAAATGTTAATATATAATACTATATATACTATAAATTTATAAATGTTGAACAAATATACTCCCCATCAAAAGTTTAGACTCACTAGTGTAAATGCAGCCACTTACTTCAGTCAACTGATCTAAACTAGATTTTTGCAAAATATTATACTGTTTACACATGAACTGATGTATTGTAAAACAAATTCGTAACGTTGAAAAGTTTATTATCACGAGTTCAATAAATGATGAAACTCAGTGAAAATTGGCGAATTCTTAACAAAACTTTACACCAAAACGCAGCTGTTCACATGCATGATATTTGCACATGCTTTTCAGCAAGTTGATGCATGATCCTCGTGCAATTCATCTGCATAAGGTTTGCAGTTGGTTCCCCCAATTTAGAGGAGAAATTCATCTTCGATGTAACCACATGTATATACATAACATATAGTGAGTGTTTTAAGTGAGTCTAAACTTTTGATGGGTATACGTAGTATGTATTTATGTAATAAAGACTATTGTCATTAATTCATGTTAGCGTGGAAGATTTAACGTGAAAACAAAAAGGTCTAAGGCAAAGTATTATTCAAAGTCAGCCTTATCTATAAAAGTAAATTGTTCACAGACAAAATAAATTTGATGTATTCACTGGAAACTGTGAATACTGTTATATAAGTATGCAACTTAAACCAACATAAACAGTGAAACATCGAGCATGCATTATGCACAAACCATTTTAAAAATATCAAAATGGATTTCAATGTCTTGAAGCTCTTTTATCGGAAACTATAAATTACAATATTTCATCATATATAAACAGCGATCTTAACATAAATGGATTTCAGTTATAAATATGTATTTCAGCATGATACAGTTGAAATTTTATAGTCAATGTGTTATGAAAACAATATGAAGTTAGCATGGAAATTTATAGTAATTCAACAACAGCACATACATCACCGTGATATGAATATGAATCTCCCAACCCTTCCATCCGCTCACCGTGATATGAATACACCATCTCCCCACCCTCCCATCCTCCCACCGTGATATGAATAACACCATCTCCCCACCCTCCTATCCTCCCACCGTGATATGAATAACACCATCTCCCCACCCTCCTATCCTCCCACCGTGATATGAATAACACCATCTCCCCACCCTCACATCCTCCCACCATGATATGAATAACACCATCTCCCCACCCTCCTATCCTCCCACCGTGATATGAATAACACCATCTCCCCACCCTCCCATCCTCCCACCGTGATATGAATAACACCATCTCCCCACCCTCACATCCTCCCACCGTGATATGAATATGAATCTCCCAACCCTTCCATCCGCTCACCGTGATATGAATAACACCATCTCCCCACCCTCCCATACTCCCACCGTGATATGAATAACACCATCTCCCCACCCTCCCATCCTCCCACCGTGATATGAATAACACCATCTCCCCACCCTCCTATCCGCTCACCGTGATATGAATAACACCATCTCCCCCACCCTCCTATCCTCCCACCGTGATATGAATAACACCATGTCCCCACCCTCACATCCTCCCACCATGATATGAATAACACCATCTCTCCCCACCCTCCTATCCTCCCACCGTGATATGAATAACACCATCTCCCCACCCTCACATCCTCCCACCGTGATATGAATGACACCATCTCCCCACCCTCCCAGCCTCCCACCGTGATATGAATAACACCATCTTCCCACCCTCCCATCCTCCCGCCGTGATATGAATAACACCATCTCCCCCACCCTCCCATACTCCCCATCGTGATATGAATAACACCATCTCCCCACCCTCCTATCCTCCCACCGTGATATGAATAACACCATCTCCCCACCCTCCCATCCTCCCACCGTGATATGAATAACACCATCTCCCCACCCTCCCATCCTCCCACCGTGATATGAATAACACCATCTCCCCACCCTCCCATACTCCCACCGTGATATGAATAACACCATCTCCCCACCCTCCCATCCTCCCACCGTGATATGAATAACACCATCTCCGCCCTCACATCCGCTCACCGTGATATGAATAACACCATCTCCCACCCTCCCATACTCCCACCGTGATATGAATAACACCATCTCCCCCACCCTCCTATCCTCCCACCGTGATATGAATAACACCATCTCCCCACCCTCCTATCCTCCCACCGTGATATGAATAACACCATCTCCCCCACCCTCCTATCCTCCCACCGTGATATGAATAACACCATCTCCCCACCCTCCCATCCTCCCACCGTGATATGAATAACACCATCTCCCCACCCTCACATCCTCCCCCACCGTGATATGAATAACACCATCTCCCCACCCTCCCATGCTCTCACCGTGATATGAATAATACCATCTCCCCATCCTCCTATCCTCTCACCGTGATATGAATAACGCCATCTCCCCACCCTCCCATACTCCCACCGTGATATGAATAACACCATCTCCCCACCCTCCCATCCTCCCATCGTGATATGAATAACACATTCTCCCTACCCTCCAATCCTCCCACCGTGACATAAATAACACCATCTCCCCACCCTCACATCCTCCCGCCGTGATATGAATAACACCATCTCTCTACCCTCCCACCTTCCCACCGAGACATAAATAACACCATCTCCACCCCCTCCCATCCTCTCACCGTGATATGAATAACACCATCTCTCTACCCTCCCACCTTCCCACCGTGACATAAATAACACCATCTCCCCACCCTCCCATCCTCCCACCATGATATGAATAACACCATCTCCCCACCCTCCCATCCTTCCACCGTGATATGAATAACACCATCTCCCCACCACCATCATCTGACCGTGATATGAATAACACCATCTCCCCACCACCACCCTCTCCCTCCACACTGTTTACTGACGCCGCTTTGGCTTATGTCTCTTTGAAGTGTCGTTTATTCTATAATCAGCAAAAAACAAGGATACGTATCTTATTAATACATGCGTTATGTTTTGAAGACGTGGAAGTCCAACTTCATTCAAAGGAAATACAAAGGGACCTGTAATGTCATTTCCTGTGGCTTACAAACTTGTTCATAATTACCCTATCAAGTAATGGTCGTCTTCCCTCATGTAACACTTCAACATGGGATATTATATTTCAGAATTTATAAATAATATATGATAATATTAATTTAATGTGTTTGTTCAGTCAAAAGGGTATATATTTCAAACTCAGGGCCGACGTCACTCACTAAGATGAAGGTTATTCTTTATAGCCACCTATCAGTTTAATATTGAACTACACTAGACGCTTAGTCTCCGAAATCATATATTATTGATAGAAACAAATAATAGCATTTGAATTGAATAGGAACCTCAGATCGATGAAATCAGAGATTTAGCGAAAACACTAGTCAACATGTACGACATTCTCTCAATAAACAAGTTCGCCTTATCTGCCTCCTGTTATTCAGATTGATGGAACACTTATGAATGAGTGAGTGAGTGACTTTAGTGTTACGCCGCTTATAGCAATATTCCAGCAATATCACGTCGTGGGACACCAGAAATGGGCTTCACACATTGTACCCATGTGGGGAATCGAACCCGGGTTTTGGCGTGACGAGCGAACGCATTAACCACAAGGCCACCCGCCGCCTCTCGTATATGCAAAGATGTTCCAGCTATTCGTGTTTCGAGTTTCAACCAGACAATCAAGTGATTGACATCATAGATATCGATCTACGTAATCGGGATACGGTGACATGCGTCAACAAAGTCAGCGAGCCTGACCACCCGATCTGCTGTTGCCTCTTACGACAACCACGGGTTGCTGAATCATTTACAGAACTGCGTTTAAACAGTGTAGTACTGGTGTTCAACAGAAGCCCCGAAGAACAACCGAAGGCCAAAGAGCCATGTCATTGCAGATAGTACTGACCATTGACCCATCGAAAGGATGGATGACCATTGACCATATTCATCCAGGGTCACCAAGTAGGCTTTTCCCAACCGTCGCCTTTTCTGCCATTTCCATTTATCAAGTTGAAAGTTTCTTGTTTTGACAAGCTGCCATTCGCTTATTAGTGATATCTGATCTCTTCTTACGAGCAATCTGACATTTCTCCACAAGACTTATAAAAAGTTTCTTCGCTGCAGTAGGCGAATCTGTAATGCTGGGAACAACTGATGAGAATGATGATTCGCTTGAATTCAAATGTGGAGGTGCAGAGAAATATCGTATCCTTTTCAAAGCGCAGCACTTTGCGAAATAACTCGCCCAGCATTTATACAACCACGTATGAGGTTGGAAAACGAAGATGCAGATGAAACCATTTATTTAACAGTTTTTGTTGCGTAAGGTATGGTGTCAGGTTCCAAGTGAAATGTCAGACATGAAGTGTATAAAATAGATAATTTCCAGAAAAGTCAAATGTGAGAACTGTCTTTAAGGATAATGTGGTACACAGTTTTCCATGAATATGTAACATAATACTGTTTTGAATATGCTAAACAATTCATTAATCCAACTGTCTATTGTTTCAGGCAGAGATGCGGGCATCATAAACAAAGAGGTCGAAACCGATTGTTTTGGAAAAGGAAGGACGCCTATGTAAGACGTTTTTTGTGGTCTTAATCATTTGTTGTGGTCAAGAGTGGTCATCATGCCGGGGAATACAGATCCTCAGCCTAACACCATTCGGGTGAAGCTTATCAAGCAGAAACATGGTGGCCTTGGCTTTCTTGTCAAGCAGCGGACTAGTAAACCATACGTCGTGGTGGCAGACCTGGTGTCAGGTGGTATCGCCGAGGAGAGCGGATTGGTGCAGGTGGGTGACGTCATTCTTAGGATAAATGATATTAACCTGACCGAGATGAGTTACGAGAGCGCAGTCGAGATACTGAAGGCCGTGCCGATAGATGCTCCAGTGGTACTGTTGCTACGAGGACCTGAAGGATATTCCACCCATCTAGAAACCACCTTCCAGGAAAATGGCATGCCCAAAACCATACGTGTCACTAAACCGGTAGATAATACCTTTGTTGGTCGAATAAAGAGGACATTTGCCACAACACCTTCCCCGCTCACGTCACCGGTACGGAGCTTTAGAAAATTGTGCAACGGTGACGAAGCGAGTCCTAAAGTTGGACGAAAGGGCAGTTCAAAGTCCAAAAGCGAGAAGGGCTGTTCCATGGAAGTTGGAAGCCAAGAAGACATAGATTCCAAGCTTCGTGATGCAATAACGCAAACGACAACAGACCAGCACGTACCCAACGGTGAGGTTCCTCGTTCTAAGACAACACCAGATAGGTTTGACGAAACCATCTTAGACACAGGAGCTCACGGTTCGCCTAAAATTATTCTGAGTAGTCCAAAGTTCCAGACAAATGGACCAGATAGTGTTGTGAAAATGAACAGAATGAATACTGAAGGAGGAGTGAGTGAGATAAAGGTTCGGGCCATCTCCAGCCCAGCCCGAAAGAGCATTGAGATAATTCAGGACAATGATGAGATAACGGTTGTAGTGAAAGGTGATGTCAAGATACAGAGTGACCATGAAAACGCGCCCGTTGAATGTGTTCATAACAAGACGCCCCAAATTTCGGAACACAAGTCTGATAAGAGAAAGAACAGTCTCACGAGTCCGGACAAAAATGGGCACACGTCAGAAGAGGAGGTGGTCAAGAAGCCCGAAAGACGAAAGAGTACCACCATGACAAGCCCAAACATGTCCAGAAGGAACGACCGAAGGGCTTCCTCCGCAACTCCGAGTCCCAAGAAGTACACGAAGTTGAAGAACCTTATTGACGACAAGACCACCATGGACATTCTCCACCAGAAGCAAATAGAGGTGGGTACGGCTGATTAGCTACATGTAAATGAAACCTTTTCCTTAGCTACTATGACCCTGTACATGATACATTAAGACACTGAAACTTAGACATCGTTCCGTGTAGTTTCAGGGATCATAAACTGTTAAATTGGCGTTCATCAAATTGGAGCTAACAGACAAACATGGCTACTTAGACAATTTAGCATCCACTTGACTCGGGTTGCCAATTGGCCCCAGACTAGCCCCTCTTATATAATCATGTTACTCCTGTCGTTAAATGCCTTTGTCGGTTACATGTCCCAGTTAAATGTACCAGTAATTGGTCTACTGAAAGGGAAATTATTCCTTACGACATGATGACGTCATAACACGGCAATGAACTCAACTTTCCCTCGTTTTCACCCAATTACTACGCTATAGTCTGAGACCAAATTAAGAACAGTACGTGTTCCCGTGAACATTCAAACATTATGCGTTTCTTACCTTTCGTACACGTCTGTACTTTCATCAGTATATTTTTCAAAGGTTGTTATTTATTATAAGGGGGTGTTAGAATTAATGCGAATTATTGTTTCAGAAACAAAGGGTTTTTTACAGCTAATTCGAACGTTTCTACTTACTTTTTATAGCATTATATGTCCAGTCATTAGTACAACCTATTGGTAACTGTTATATCTAGTCAAGCGAATGGGCAACATACTATTCTGATAACCAGTACTGATGGATAAGTTCTTAACTTAAGATCTTAACAAAGATCAGGCAGGTGGTCATCTACCTTAATGTATATAGTATATGTTAATCGCTGACCATTACAATATCCAATGAACGGTGGGTTAGCCTAGTGGTTAAAGCGTTCGCTCGTCATGCCGAAGACCGGGTTCGAATCCCCACATGAGTACAATGTGTGAAGCCCATTTTTGGTGTCCCCCGCCGTGATGTTGCTGGAATATTGCTAAAAGCGGCGTAAAACCAAACTCAGTCAGTCAGTACAATATCCAATAATTATTGGGGGTTTTACGATAGCTGTTTATAGTTCATTTGTAGAATACTGATGGATTAGTGGCCTATCAATGGATTGTATTACTATTTTTACGTGGAGTCCTTGTGAATACTTCCGAGGTACCTGAAATATTGCTGACTGTTGCATTAAAACACCACCTACTTTAGGTAGAACGTAAGAATTGCGCCATCTCTATCCATCCTTGCTGTTCAGGTTGACCCTGTCCATGTTCAGCCACACTTTTCATCCCTATCCCATTTGGTAGTGCTCGATGCAAGCAATAAACACAGCAAAACATGTAAAATGCACATACCATCTGTGTGTCTCCTGAATGTAATTTGTTGAAGGTAACGTGATATTATTGTATTAGCAGTGTCACAGCTTGTGGTGGTGTCATCTCGTTCATGAAGTAGGCGTCGCCTTAGTCGTTGATGCTGAACAAATACTGAGCTCAAACATAGACTTTAAAATCAAACATGTAATCAGAGGTTGATTGAATCAATATAAGATTATTTACTGACAATATGATGAAAGTATGTGTTCATGAAGTAGGCGTCTTCATAGTTGTAAGGGGCGGTGGGGTAGCCTAGTGGTTAAAGCGTTCGCTCGTCACGCCGAAGGCCTGGGTTCGATTCCCCTCATGGTTAAATTGTATGCATCCCGTTTCTGGTGTCTCTGCCGTATTGCTGGAATATTGCTAAAAGCGGCGTAAAACTCAATTCACTCACTCACTTTGTGGTTAATGCTGAACAAATGTTGAGCTCAAACATTGATTTTCAAACTCTCACATGCAAATCATAAGTAATTAAATGGTGATTGACTCAGTGTATGATTATGTACTGAGAACATTATGAAAGTATATGTTATCAATACGAACATCCCCCGCCGTGATATTGCTGGAATATTGCTAAAAACGGCGTAAAACCATACTCAGTAATACGAACATCGAACACCGTTGTGTCGAACCTTTCTAAAAAGAAGTTAAAGCGTTGTCCAGGAGTATTCCTTATTTACAATAGCCATGGCAATACGGCTGAAATACTTCTCCTTTTGCGGTTGCGTGGGACCTCGGACACCTCCAAGCATATTCGTAGGTTCCTTCGAATTCGACACATCAGTGTTCTACTGTAGGTTTATGTGTTGTCAGTGCAATAAATTAGTGTCCATCTCGTACTGATATAACCCCAGTGTTTTCAACTCGCTACATCGAGTGTCCATTGATTACTTACATCGGTGTTAAATTTGTATTAAAATGTTATGAACAAACTTAATGGACACCAACTTCTTTAATTATTTCGTGAATGCGACGTTTCGATACAGATTCTTGTACCATTGTAAAGCAGTACTGCTCAAGTTCAGTGCTTGACGACGGTACAAGAATCTGTATCGAAACGTCGCATTCACGAAATGGAGAAGTTGTTGTCATAGTGTACTTCCCTGCTTCAAACATGCGACTCAAAGAAGCTATTAAAGTGTTTCGGTTAAAACCGATTTATCGGTCGTGATAATATGACTTGTATCGATCATAATTTCCTGGATGGATGGCAACTTACTTATTACTATTTTTTGGATCGGCATTCAGTAATGTTTCACAGTCTTTTATTCCAAATTATCTTTTAATTGGATGCAATTGCTTGTGTATCTTCACCATTGATATTACTTACATATGTGTCCTACTTCAGTTGACAAACTTATTGATGAATGCCTACATATATTCATAGTCCGTATCTATGGTTTCCTACTTGTAATGATAATATATTTATATTGGGTCATGCAGTATTGATGTGGCATACAAGTCATACAATATTTCTACGGACACTGACTGTATAGTTGTGTCTATTGGTAGTGACAGTACGTACTCTTATTTCCGTGTGTCTTCTTGAAGCGACAGTACATACATTGAAAATGCATGCTTCTGGTTGTACTGACAATACATAGATGTGTGTCCAGTTGATGTCGATGGAACTTAGATAAGTGTCCGTCTGGTATCAATAATTATTAGTTTTGTGGTCACCTGGAATTGGTATTGATAATAAAAGGGTTGTGTCAACCTTATATCGATAGTTTCAAGACTGGTGACCTCGTTGTATTGATAATACACAGGGTTGTGACCATCTGATATCCATAGTTCCAAGACTGGTGATCTCTTGGTATTGATTATACACAGGGTTGTGTCCACCTGATATCGATATTTCCAAAACTGGTGACCTCTTGGTATTGATTATACACAGGGTTGTGTCCACCTGATATCGATAGTTCCAAGACTTGTGATCTCTTGGTATTGATAATACACAGGGTTTTGTCCACCTGATATCGATAGATCCAAGTCTGGTGATCTCTTGGTATTGATAATAAAAGGGTTGTGTCAACCTTATATCGATAGTTCCAAGACTGGTGACCTCTAGGTATTGATAATACACAGGGTTGTGTCCACCTGATATCGATAGTTCCAAGACTGGTGACCTCTTGGTATTGATAATACACAGGTTTGTGTCCACCTGATATCGATAGTTCCAAGACTGGTGACCTCTAGGTATTGATAATACACAGGGTTGTGTGCACCTGATATCGATAGTTCCAAGACTGGTGACCTCTAGGTATTGATAATACACAGGGTTGTGTCCACCTGATATCGATAGTTCCAAGACTGGCGACCTCTAGGTATTGATAATACACAGGGTTGTGTCCATCTGATATCGATAGTTCCAAGACTGGTGACTTCTAGGCATTGATAATACACAGGGTTGTGTCCACCTGATATCGATAGTTCCAAGACTGGTGACCTCATGGTATTGATAATACACAGGGCTGTGTCCACCTACAGTGATCTTCAGTAACCCATGCTTGCTTAAGAGGTGACTAAGAGGATCGGGTGATCAGGCTCGCGGACTTGGTTGACACATTTCAACGTATCCCATCTGCGTAGATCGATGCTCATGCTGTTGATCACTGGATTGTCTGGTCCAAACTCGATTACTTACTTACTGCCGCCATATAGCTGGGATATTGCTGAGTGCGTCGTAAAACTAAACACACTCACTCACTATTGATAATACACAGGGTTGTGTCCACCTGATATCAATAGTTTCAAGACTGGTGACCTTTTGGTGTTAATAATACAGGGTTGTATGTTGCAACCTGTATCAAGCACCCCTCACGACTGACACATATTTCCAATTTAACACTATTGCTCTTTTTTAGCCTGTTCCCTGCACCGCAGAGCGATGTATGGGGTCCATCTTGGCGGAGCCGAGCAAGCGACCCCCCGGGGTCCCCCGTCCGAGGGAGGAGTTGCTGGTTCATGCCAAGGATTTCATTGATCAGTACTACACGTCGATCAAAAGGTGGGTAACCAGAACATCTCCCTGTCCCCCGCAACAATCCGCTTTCCGAAGAATACTAGACATGTTCCTACTGTTATGATTCGATTTGTGAGATTAGTCCAAATGTCGACGTGTCTAAAAGGAGAAAGCCATGCTGGGGCTTCCCTTCATCCCTTGTCTGGCACAGAGGTATGCTACCAAAACAAATATTGACCAGTGATAGGATATCGTCGAACAATATGTTGGTGTGTGCTGTAATGCAATAGGAACAAATAATATAGGGATACAGGTTTAACATGCTGGGAATTTTTTCTGCGATTGCAATATCAATAAATTCTCCTTGCTCTTGGAATGGTGTGTGTACATGGCCGATGCTAATGACTAGACCTGTGAAGATCCAGGTTAGAATTGAACTTCAGTAACCCATGCTTGTCGTTAGAGGCGACTAACGGGATCGGGTGGTCAGGCTCGCTGACTTGGTTGAAACATGTCATGGTAACCCAGTTGCGTAGATCGATGCTCATGCTGTTGATCTCTGGTCAGAGTAAGTCAATGGTTCGAACCGCCAACGATTAAAATGTGGATTGGTCTTTTTCTCATACAAATGAATCGAAGGTAGTATTAATTCCAATTTATCGATCTTTGTCAAGATCAAAGCTTTGATTACACAGATTATTAGGTAAATCTCGTGAAACTCGTGCTGACTTTAAAGCAAGGGCTGATGAAACCGATTTTCACATTGGTTGATATCGCGCATTAATCGTGAAAACCGACTCTGCACTCCGAGAACTATGTTTAATATCGAGAATGCAATGTTTTCTGCAAAAAGCGAATACCTAACATGAAAAAGCATCATAGGACAGAACATATTCTCTGAATACTTGTCGTTCCAAAATGTTTTGAACACTTCAAACTTTTGCCAAGGAGTGTAGAAACAGAACACGATCTGTGAATACGCGTTAGTATTGATCTTCAGTCTTCACAACTGGCTCTGGCTGAGTGAATGATTCATCTAGTCTCAGTAGATCACAGATGTTCTACAAAATGAATATCACAAGAGCGAGCATATGCAGCTCTGAGTAAGTACGGGAATTATCCAATCACTGGCAATGTTCTGAGCCGTTGAGAGACCGCTTGTAACCGCGTGTCAGAAAAACGGAACTTCCACAAACCATGTTTGCGAGTGAGCGTGTCAGTGAGTAAGTTTAGTTTTACGTCGCACGCAGAAAATACTCTATGTATATGGTGGCGGTCTATAAGTAAACGAGTCTATAAGTAAACAATCCAGTGATCAACAGCATGAGCATCTGTTTGGCGTCTACTTGACACATCGTCGTGTCTTCCTGCATATCTGTTATCTAGTACACTTAAATAATGCTTGTCGTCCTGAGCGTTTTCTGGTGACATTATGTCCCCAGGAGCTTACACTATTCGTAAGAGGTGATCAAATTCAGGTAATCAGGTCCGGTGTCCCTCAGCGGTGCTTGTTGCTCATGATATCGGTCACTGGGTTGTCTAGGTTACACTCGATTATATACAGACCGCCGTCATTTTCCGCTGCTCGATGATCATGATATCAGTCACTGGGTTGTCTAGTTCACACTCGATTATATACAGACCGCCTTAATTTTCCGCTGCTCGATGATCATGATATCAATCAATAGATTGACTACTAAACGCTTCGGGAGGTGGGGTAGCGTAAAGCGTTCGCTCGTCACACCGAAGACCCGGGTTCGATTTCCACATGGGTGCAATGTATGAAGCCCATTTTTGGTATCATACGCCGTGATATTGCCAGAATGTTGCTAAGAGCGGCGTAAAACCATACTCACTCACTCACATACTCACTACACTCTTAATGATAAACAGACCACCGTCATGTTCCGCCGCTCGCTGCTCATGGTATCAATCACTGGCTTGTCTAGTCCAGACTCAACTGCATCCAAATCGTGTCACATAGCTAACACAAACTCCACATCGTTTAACTCTTATTATGTGTCATCCGTTCTCAAGTATAAAAAAAAAAAAAAAAAACAATGATAAGAAACATACGCACCCTGTATAAACTTGTGCCAACAATTACGTTAATAAAAACAGGAAACCATCTTCAATTATTAATCATTAATTCATCGATTAATATCTGTGAAAGAGTAGTACCATCAATAAACAGTAATGCGAGTGAATACAAATTTCCCAGCCATTTTCAGTCATTAATTGTTTGGACCCCAACATGGTCTCAAACACAGATCGAGTAAAGAGTCATTCAAGACCAGGTTCTCAGAATGTAAGATTTCAGCGGAAACACAGAGAACGACAGATGATTGATACTTTATTGGAAACTGATCGATGACGGATATTGTTGCGTATCCCATAGAAACCCACTTTGTAATCTATGTTTTGGTTACTATTCACTACACGTGGACGGATGAAGACATAATCCATATGTATTGAAACACATATGAACAGATGCATCAACGGAAAATGAGAATAATCGGTCTATATCTTAAACACAAATTGTTTTACCCCAAGACCATGATCGAACATCATCTGTCGATATATTGTATTTTTAAAGAAATTGTTCAGCTAAAGATTCTTCTCGAAAAAAAATGTTGATGCTTTTACTAAAATGTTTCTAATTCGTTTGATGCTTTGAAATAAACAAGTAGCTCGCGAAATAAGTTTACCGAATAAACAATTCTTGAAATGAAATGTGATTATAACTATCCATACTTGTAAAGGCGATGCTGGGACATTCGATACGAGCCCTCTTGATGTTATTCCGCGTCAATGCTGAAGATACTAAAGTGCCACCAGTTGTGAAACATGTCCAAATGAGATCCATTTGAAGTTATATTTTTTCAGAGCGTATTACAAACACTAGTTGGTATTTTGTTAAAAAAACGTCTGTCTGAAGTTTCGAATTTCCTACGCTTTAATAAGTATTGATAGCATTACAGCCTACAGCTATGACCTAAACCATTGGTATTAAAACTGTACCAGGCATTCTTATTTCTGAAGTGCAAGCCAGAAGCCAATAGTACAAGTAAAAACGGTTACAATGAGTGGTACAAGTGCGTTTCTGTTTTAACAGTGCATGGTGTATAAACGTAGCACTATTTTCAAGAAGCTGTACATTTTCGGTTGACATTAGTATACAGAATTTGTAAAATGGGTGACAGGACGTATATTTAGATGGTATATAATTGCTCCTTAGATCTTCATACTGTGGACAGATGAGAAGGACATGGTATTCATCTTCAGTAATATCCCTGTCACACATTTTTCCGGATTGGTTCTCAGTAGCATGACATAATTTTAAAAACTATATTAGATCATAATAACAGCATCGAAACTGCGATAATTATATTCTTAATATCCTTATATTTACAACTGTTAAATACTTTTCACTCATACAATGTTGTTTTAATAGAGAATACGAATATGAACCTTTTCCAGTTTGAATATTTCTAGTCCAATCGTGGTGAAGGCAATCCTTACATCTTTGTTGAACAAGGGATAAAAAGGTTATAACAAAAAACTAGTTGACAGCAATAACCAACCGAAGTGAGATATGAAAATGAAAAGATAGGCTCGATTTTTCAAGGGAAGCGCTCTCTAACCAACACAGCCTCGAGTTTATGTGCAGTTTATTGAGAAGAACAGCAACCCTGACAAGTCCTTTATTTGAACAGTCAACCGGCCTGAAAAGTGAAACACGTGGCTTTCTGTCTAATGCTTTGGACCAGTCACTTCACACTTGAAACAATGTGTAATATGCACCAAAATGTAAATATGAAATTTAAATGCAATGAATTTAATGAAACTGTCCAACATCTTGTCAGTGGATGCCCAGTGATACAAATGCAATATCTTTATAATAGATTTTTATAATAACAAGATTTTTTTTATAAAATGAATTTTTATATAGTAAATTCACACTAAATTAATATTCAAAATAAACAAAAAATAATTTACCAGAAGGTATCAACATTATCTCCAATTAAAACAGCATACCCAAATTAAATTTGATAAGGGGAGATAACTCTTGCCCAGGTTTACCTCAGTATAAATGCGTGTGTGGCCAAAATATCACGAAGTATGATTAGAAGCAAGATAAAGTGAAATAACTACGTAACATAAATACGCGCTCCTAATGTCACATCCCGTCGCATACGGTATGCGCACAAACCACGGTATCCAACCTCTTTAATAGCATGGAATTCTCATGCTATCTGACAATAATGTGATTGTTACTCCGTTACAACATGGGCGGTGGGGTAGCCTAGTGGTTAAAATGTTCGCTTGTCACGCTGAAGACCCGGGTTCGATTGCCCACATGGGTACAATGCGTGAAGCCCATTTCTGGTGTCTCCCGCCGTGATATTGCTGGGATATTGCTAAAGGCGGCGTAAAACTAAACTCACTCACTCTTACGAAATGTCACGCTTGCATCTCGATGGCCAGGTTGTCCGATTTACCCTTGTCCTCGGTGCCTTTTTTGTGACGCAGGTGTGTTGTCAGGAACGCTTCCCATCTGACACGCCTGGTAATGCAGAAGGGTGCGCAAATGCAGACTACCCTGAGCTTGCGATGAACCAAACCAGCTAGACTGTGCCAGGAGCATCAAACCTTCTTTGCTGAATGTTTTAGCATTTTAATCTGTATGATAATAAGTGCACTGATCCGTAAGCTTCCGATATGTTGTATGCCTTAGACCTCTTCATGGTGCCGATATGCCAAGGTTAATTATCAACGCTTGCTTGGGTTTCGAACCCGCGCTTGAATCCGTAACGCCGAATCCACGCGGCTCCTCACAGTGATTTGCGACTCCTCTGACGACCAGTCATCGGTACTCCTTATGAAAACGATTTTTTTTCAATCACCAACTTCTTAAAGGCTGACTACAGCCCACCACTAGTATGTTCCCCTAACGTTCTTTGACTTCCTGCAGGTCCAACACGGCATCCCACCAGAAGCGGTGGGCGGAAGTAGTCGCCAGTGTGGAGAAAACAGGCACATATGATCTGACCTTCGCAGAACTGACTTTCGGTTCCAAAACGGCGTGGAGAAATGCCCCCAGATGCATTGGCAGAATTCAGTGGTCAAAGTTACAGGTATGTAGAATGTAGAACTTTTCCTTCTTTCAATCACTGCTTCGGAGGCGACAAATGGGATTTGGTGGTCAGGCTCGCTGTCTTGGTTGACACATGTCACCGTATCCCAACCGTAGATCGATGCTCATAATGTTGATCACTGGATTGTCGGGTTCAGACTGAGTGCAGCGTTTAGCAACAAACAAACACTACTTCATATTTCCGCATAATCGACTATTTCTAACCAATTATGTACTATAACAATTATTGTAACTGACTTACCAACTATTTGTAAAAACTGTCTGTTTCAACCAACCTCTAATTCCTTATATCCAGACTCCACTTTCAACATTCCATTTTCCCCTTTTACGTCATAGAAAATTCAAGCTATTCTATAGATTCACTGTTATATGACCTCCCTACAATTCTGCATTACCAACTTCGTCAAGTACCGAACAAGTGCCCTGTTAAGGCTATGGAGAATATATGGACGTCGGGTTTCATGTTGAATCCACTCATACAACTTTCACCAATATTTCTAAACTGACGTAAAAAAGAAAGTACACACCCGGTGCTTTTGGATTACTTTCTAAAAAGCGACGTAAATGTTTTGAAAAGAGTTTTTACAGTGATATATAAGTCACAGACTTTCCTAATATGTTGCCAAAACACCACGGATATCGTGCCCACTTGCGAAGTTGCCAATCAGAATCACAACGCTTTTCAGATAATCCCAAAACACCAGGTGTGTACTTTCTTTTGTCCGTCGGTTTACTTTCACGTTTAGGGAAACTTATCGACAGATAACGGAGACTAGATATTTCCTAGCGTATATTATGTATTATATTTATTATTATTTTCATATTTGCGACATGTACAATAGACGTATGCTACCGCTTATGCATAAAATATGAATAAAGCAGAAACCACACTGACACCTGTAATGTTTGAATATCACGGCGTCAAATGTGAAGAACGTGTGCATAATTGGCATCATGCCAAAGACATACATTTTCAAAGCCATCATTTGATCCGCCGGTCCGTTCTGAAGCCAGTTTAATCACAGATATTGTCCGCTGTCATGTGTAATGCCAAGTGATGGATCTACCCGACTATCACCCAGCCTCATCCCATCCATCCATCCAACCATCAGGGATGACACATATGTATGCACGTCACATATCACAGATTAACAGCGACATCATTGACAGCAGCGCCGACATACCTCTTTCATCTGGCATTAGTTCACTACCTGGTCGGTACTTTAGCGTTGTATTGCTGTTAATTCCGGCTTAATGAATAAAGGAAGTTTTATGCGATATTTGCAGCAGTATGAATTACACGTACTGGAAAACTGGAAGTGGTTGACTGGTATTTGGATGAATGGATGGAGGAAACAACCCGGCCCCTGTACCTAGGCTTTCTGATGCCAAACTGTAAATGGTTAACTGACATTTGGATGGATGGATGGATGGATGATGGGATGGGTGGATGGATTGGATGGATAGACGGATAGCTGGATGAATGATGGATGGATGGATAGCTGGCTGGCTGGCTGGCTGGATGAGTAAACAACCCGACCCATGTACATATGCTCCCTAACGCCACACTGGAAATGGTTAACTGACATTGGGATGGATGGATGATGGGATGGGTGGATGGATGGAATGGATAGACGGATAGCTGGATGAATGATTGATGGATGAAAAGATGGATGGATGGATGGATGGATGGATGAGTATACAACCCGACCCACGCACATATGCTCCCTAACGCCACACTGGAAATGGTTAACTGACGTTGGGATGGGTGGATGGATGGACGGATGTACGGATGACTACACAACTAGACCCATCTTCCAAGGCTCCCTAAGGCTATACACAATGAGGTTCACGTGTTTTCAGATCCTGGACGTTCAACTTTAATTACACAGTAACTCGTCGTCAAAAACTTACCCTTTCAGACTAAATGTATGTAACCTATAAACGGAATAATCGATCATTATCGATACATTGACCTACGTCCAAACGTTAAGTCGACGCATAGAAAACTCGATATACATCGACTTGTTTTGTTAGGACGGGACAATACATAGAGTAGATGAAACTATATAGTGGCTAGAGTTTACCTTTGTGTGATAGACACGGGCAAGTATACAAAATCTTTTGACATATATGTTCTCTTCCTGTTCAGGTGTTCGACGCCAGGCACATCACGACAGCCCGGGGCATGTTTGAGGCCTTGTGTAACCACATCAAATACGGAACCAACAAAGGAAATATCAGGTGGAGATAACTTTTGGGCATCATTATATTCAATCGGCTCGGCTCTGGACCATGTACTACCCATCAAAAGTTTAGACTCACTTAAACAGTTACTATATGTTATGTATATATGTATGGTTACATCGAAGATGAATTTCTCCACTAACTTGGGGGAACCAACTGAAAACCTTATGCAGATGAATTGCACGAGGATCATGCATCAAATTGCTGAAAAGCATGTGCAAATATCATGCATGTGAACAGCTGCGTTTTGGTGTAAAGTTTGGTTACGAATTCGTCAATTTTCACTGAGTTTCATCATTTATTGAACTCATGACAATAATCTTTTCAACGTTACAAATGTGTTTTACAAAGCATCAGTTCATGTGTAAACAGTACCTTTAAACAGTATGGAAAGTTTTGCAAAATTTATTTTTGAACAGTTGACCTAAGCAAATGGCTACATTTACACTAGTGAGTCTAAACTTTTGATGGGGAGTATAGATACGAGTGTGAAGCCCATTTCTGGTGTCCCCAGCCGTGATATTGCTGGAATATTGCCAAAAGCGGCGTAAAACCAAAACTCACTCACTCACTCACTCACTTAAGCTATCAAATGTAATGTTAGCAGTTTTCGTAATGATTTAGGCCACCGACGAGTTATGTCCCTTGCTGTACCAATGGTGGTCAAGGAACCGTTTTTGCTATGTCAGCTTTTCGATTTCAAAGTGGTCATCGTGTACGACTGAGACACCATCAGTTTTCCTTCGAAATGAAGAAACTGCCTATATGGTCAAGTGGGCAGAGCATGTTTCTGATATCGGAAGGTCGGAGGTTCGTATCCCGGCCGCGTCATACCAAAAGTTAGATATGGTACTTGATATTACCTTGCCTGCTGCTCGGCGTTAAGGCAATAAAACAAGTTTTGTTCAGTTTGAGTGAGGATATCCGACACACATGTATCTCATTGGGTTAGAATTGTAAAACTGGCATTAACCCGGGCTGGTATAAGCATACACACAAATGTGTATGCATATATGTGAAACGGACACTGCGCTAAACCACACTGCCAGTCAAGGTGACACGTCTTCACCCATGCGCTATCAAACTAAGGGACCGGTCATTTTAGGGTCAGAGGATTGGTCTCAATACGTACCATAATTCACTAACACCCCGCACCATCACCATCACCATCACCAGATGCATCTTACATTTTTTTCTGATCCCCTATAATAAACGACTGGTCCCTGGTGTTCTAATCTCCCTGGTGCGGAGGGGTAGTCAAAAGGTTAAAGCGTCGGCTCGTCACGCTGAAGGCCCGGGTTCAATTCCCCACATGGGTACAAAGTGTGAAGCCTACCTCTGGTGTCATCCGCTGTGATATTAATAGAATATTTCTAAAAGAGGCGTAAAACCATACTCATTCTGGCCCTAATCAAACCAGTTTCTACAATTTGGTGTTTTTCTCTATTGTATGTGCTTTGGTGTAGAGTCCCCCCGCCCGTGATATTGCTTCAACATTGCTAAAAGTGGCGTAAAAGCATATTCACTCATTCTATTCGTCCTGGCCCTAATCAAACCAGTTTCTACAATTAGGTGTTTTTTCTATTGTATTTATTTGGGCGGTGGGGTAGTCTAGTGGTTAAAGCGTTGGCTCGTCACGCCGAAGACCCGGGTTCGAATCCCCACATGGGTACAATGAGTGAAGCCCATTTCTGGTGTCCCCCGCCGTGATATTGCTGGAATACTGCTAAAAGCGGCGTAAAACCAAACTCAGTCAGTCAGTCAGTCTATTGTATTTGCTCTGGTATCCCCCGCCCGTGATATTGCTGGAATATTGCTAAAAGGGCCTAAACTAAACTAAACTCACTCACTATTGTATTTCCATATAGATCTGCTATCACGATCTTCCCTCACCGTACCGACGGCAAACATGACTTCAAGGTGTGGAACTTCCAGCTGATCCGCTACGCTGGTTACCGTCAGCCCGACGGCAGCTTCATAGGCGACCCTTGCAACTCTGAGTTTACAGAGGTGAGTAGACAACGCTCCATCTCGGGTTGGTATACATGGGAAGGTCGATGTTCATAGTTTCATTCACTAGCTTGTTGCTTCGGATTTGGTTACAGGCATCGGGAATTTTCATGAGAGTGGTATAAAACAACATACTCTCAATCGAAGAAGCCGTAGCTGTAGAAGAGGTGGCAGTGGTAGTAGTAGTTTCAGTCGTAGTGTTAGTAGTGGTAACAGTAGCGGTAGCAGTGGCTGCAGCGATAGTAGTAGTAGTAGTAGTAGTAGTTGTAGTTGTAGTTGTAGTGGTAGTTGTAGTTGTAGTTGTAGTAGTAGTAGTAGTAGTTGAAGTTGTAGTTGTAGTAGTAGTAGTAGTAGTTGAAGTAGTAGTAGTTGTAGTAGTAGTAGTAGTAGTAGTATTAGTAGTAGTTGTAGTTGTAGTAGTAGTAGTAGTTGTAGTAGTAGTAGTTGAAGTAGTAGTAGTTGTAGTAGTAGTAGTTGTAGTTGTTGTAGTAGTACTTGTAGTAGTAGTAGTAGTAGTTGTAGTAGTAGTAGTTGTAGTTGTTGTAGTAGTAGTAGTAGTTGTAGTTGTAGTTGTAGTAGCTGTAGTAGTAGTAGTAGAAGTAGTAGTTATAGTAGTAATATTAGTTTTAGTAGTAGCAGTAGTAGTGGCAGTGGCAGTAGCAGTAGCAGTAGTAGTAGCAGTAGCAGTAGCAGTAGCAGTGGCAGTAGTAGTAGTAGTAGTAGCAGTAGCAGTAGCAGTAGTATTAGTAGTAGTAGTAATAGCAGTAGCAGTAGTAGTAGTAGTAGTAGTAGAAGTTGTAGTTGTAGTAGTAGTAGTTGTAGTAGTAGTAGAAGTAGTAGTTATAGTAGTAGTAGAAGTAGTTTTAGTAGTAGCAGTAGTAGTGGCAGTGGCAGTAGCAGTAGTAGTAGCAGTAGCAGTAGCAGTAGCAGTGGCAGTGGCAGTAGTAGTAGTAGTAGCAGTAGCAGTAGCAGTAGTAGTAGTAGTAGTAGTAGTAGTAGTAGCAGTAGTAGTAGCAGTAGTAGTAGCAGTAGTAGTAGTAGTAGTAGTAGCAGTAGCAGCAGTAGCAGCAGTGAAAGCAGCAGCAGCAGCAGCAGTAGCAGCAGCAGCAGTAGTAGTAGTAGTAGCAGCAGCAGTAGCAGCAGCAGCAGTAGCAGTAGCAGTAGTAGCAGTGGCAGCAGCAGCAGCAGCAGCAGCAGTAGTAGCAGCAGCAGCAGCAGCAGCAGTAGCAGCAGCAGTAGCAGCAGCAGTAGTAGCAGCAGCAGTAGCAGCAGCAGCAGCAGCAGTAGTAGTAGTAGTGGTAGTAGCAGCAGTAGCAGTAGCAGCAGCAGCAGCAGCAGCAGCAGCAGCAGCAGCAGCAGCAGCAGCAGCAGTAGTAGTAGCAGTAGTAGTAGTAGTGGTAGTAGTAGTAGTTGTGGTAGTAGTAGTAGTAGTGGTAGTAGTAGTAGTGGTAGTAGTAGTAGTAGTGGTAGTAGTAGTAGTGGTAGTAGTAGTGGTAGTAGTGGTGGTGGTGGTGGTGATGGTAATGAGTGAGTGAGTGAGTCTTGTTTTACGCCGCTTTTAACACTGTCACGACGGGGGGTACACCAGAAATGGACTTCACAGATTGTACCAATGTGGGGAATCGAGCCCGGGTCTACGGCGTGACGAGCGAAAGCTTTAACCACTAGGCTACCCTATCTCCCCAGTAGTAGTAGTAGTAGTAGTAGTAGTAGAAGTAGTAGTAGTAGTAGTAGTAGTAGTAGTAGTAGTAGTAGTAGTAGTAGTAGTAGCAGTAGTAGTAGTAGTAGTAGTAGAAGTAGTAGTAGTAATAGTAGTAGTAGTAGTTGTAGTAGTAGTAGTAAAAGTGGTGGTGGTGGTAGCAGTAGCAGCAGCAGTAGCAGTGGTGGTGGTAGCAGTGTAAAATATGGGAGTAATACACTGCTCGGAAAAGACAGGAATACACTCCAGTTTGATCGTAGCTTGATAAGAAAACAGGCAAGGAATGGTCAGTCAATGGTCAATTATTTGATACAGAAATTAAATCAGTTGTAGTAATGGCAGTAGTGATAGTAGTGAAAGTCACATATTGAACTAGGGGTCTACTTGGTAGGTTTACATACGACTATAACTGACCTTGTCGTCCTTGGCCTGCAGGTGTGTGAGAAGTTGGGATGGAAGGGCAAAGGAACTGAATTTGATGTCCTGCCGCTTGTCCTGTCGGCTGGAGGTCACGACCCGGAAGTGTTTGAAATTCCAACGGAACTGGTTCTTGAGGTGTCGATGAAACACCCGAAGTAAGTATTACTTGTCGTAATCCACAAAATATTGACACAACACGAAATTCCCTCCATGTTTTAACTCCAACTTCAGGAAGAAATTACAGTTACAGATTATGTTATAAATTTGTGATCTGTGACAGCGGTAGAAGTAGTAGTAGTAGTAGCAGCAGCAGCAGCAGTAGTAGTAGTAGAAGTAGTAGTAGTAGTAGTAGTAGTAGTAGTAGTAGTAGTGGTGGTTGTTTAATATAGTAGTAGTAGTAGCAGTGGTAACAGTAGTAGTAGCAGTAGTAGTAGTAGTAGTAGTAGTAGTAGCAGCAGCAGTGGTAGGAGGAGGAGGAGGAGGAGGAAGAAGAAGAAGAAGAGTGAGTGAGTGAGTTTAGTTTTACGCCGCACTCAGCAATATTCCAGCTATATGGCGCCGGTCTGTAAATAATCGAGTCTGGACCAGACAGCCCAGTGATCAACAGCAAGAGCATCGATCTGCGCAATTGGCAACCGATGAGATGTGTCAACCAAGTCAGCGAGCCTGACTACCCGATCCCGTTAGTCGCCTCTTTCGACAAGCGTGGGTTACTGATGATCAATATTCTATCCCGGACCTTCACGGGTAGGAAGAAGAAGACGATGGGGACTTGTGTTGTGTCATTATTTTATGGATTTCTTTACAGATGTATACACAGACAAAAATCAGATCGCACAGACTCAGGCGAGTATTTCTGTGCTCCGGTCGACCAGTAGCAGTTAAGAGTCTGGGCTGTATCGAACTGATTACCTGGGCTCCACTATTTCTCTCGATCCTTATTTGTCAAGTCGAAACGTACTTTGCAGTCGAATCGAACGTATGCCAAGCTAAGAATCATCCATACTTCCTGCACTTCATTACTCCACGAGTAATTCATTACTATGTTTTCATTCTCAACCCACTAGGAAGTAGACAACCCAAATGTCTGTGACGCGACAGAATGTTAACGGTCCCAACCTCATCCTATCGGGTACCCATAAACTGCTGAGTTCACAAAAGCATGTTCCGAACGCTGTATAAAGGAGACCTCCGTGGAATAATAATACATTCTGAGTTTTAATGTTAACAGAGACATAGACTTGCAATAAGTGACATGCCATGAGCACAATATTTCTGATATTGCTGAGTGCGGCGTGAAACTAAACTCACTCACTCACAATATTTCTGATTGTCGAGATTAGGCCGCTATAATGTAATCGACTGTATAATACGTTCTCACTAGTCTGTAAATAAACGAGTCATAAACATTCATGATGTCTGATACAGCAAGCTGGAATATTGTGAAATGCTAATCCGAGATGTGTATATTGATAGCGTGATATTACTGATGAACACGACGATTTATTCAGTCCTTATAGTTCATGCTGGGCATTCGTGAAGTGCATTATATACAATTGTACCTTAGTTTCATAAACATGTTCTAAATGGTCTGTCTCACAGTCCCTGAACCACATTATTTTCCATACTGCCTAGCCCTCCCTACAATGCTAAAGCCCTAAATGAAGCAAGTCTGGATTTCCTCAGGTTCTGAATGCCCCATCTCACTGGGACTCCTTTTCAATTTAAATGGGTTTATTTGTTACTGTCAAAATTATATAATATATTCAAAGACTAAGCGTTAGTCTATAGATAGATGTACCATTCAAAATATAAATACATTTAATCACCAATACGATGATCACTCATAGTCTACTAAACAAGGCGAAGTGAGTGAGTGAGTGATCGATATCTTCTAAAATGACAAAATCTGGCCATATTGCATCACATTGGTAATATAAATCGTGTTCACCGTAATGCTCTCGTCTCTCCAGTAATATATCAATTCCCTTTCCGTATTTGCTGGTCTACAGTACACTACCGGGCAAACAAATATGCACACTTGAATATTGGACTTGACTAAATAATTACCAACGTTATCAAAACGTAACTATGCTGAAAGAAGTCGCCGACACACAAGTATGAAAACATGCGTTATGAAACACATCAGCGTCGAATAGACACTTCTTGTCTCATTTTAGACACCATGAACCTGTATACTTTCTTTTATACGCCAGGATATTCAGACTCTAAAAATCCAGCGCAGAAAGACAAACCAATAGACGCCAAAATAACAGAATTATTTTTGACATCATATACGAAAGAATATACTCCGAAACGTCGTGCGTACAGAGGGTGAGTTAATATAAATATATACCTGTACTGTATTTTCTCTCGGGTGGAACATTTGTTCCCAAAAGAAAAGTGAACGAGTGTGGTTTTACGCCGCTTTTAGCAATATTCCAGCAACATCACGGCGAGGGAGGCAGAAATGGGCTGCACACATTGTACCCATGTGGGGAATCGACAAACGTGTTCATGGTTTTAATCATGAAATGTGTAGCATTTCAAACACGACGGTCATATGATGAACACTGAACAAGATTACTTTAACTGAAAAACAAGGCACAGATTTTCATTCATAAATTGTTGCATGACCGTGTAGTAATGTTTTTCAGTGTCTTTGCGCAATTTTATATTAGGAGGCACTCACCAGTAGGTATCGCTATGTTTTTTAAGTAATGTAATATCAGCTGTGTTCATAGCCTTCTTTAAGTGGTATTTAGAGTGAGTGAGTGAGTTACAATTTAACGTCACCCCGGCAATATTTCAGCCACATAGTGACGAGAAATGTTGTACATAAACAATACATCAAAGTTGGTGAATGTCCAGTCATCGACGGACTGTAAAATAACTAGAGTATCACAGAAAGAGTTAAAACTAGCTAGTATTATTTTTAAAAGTAGAAAACTATTTTAGACACTACAATGTAAAGTGGCATCTAGACGCTGATGAAGAGGAACACTTTGTATGGATACACTACTACTTTATTGCAATAGATGCCACGTGTAGATCCTAACAACGTCATCAAGAGAACGATACACGACATCATACACAAGACGCATATATAAATTAATAATAATAATAATAGTCGATTTATATTGCGCATTTATCCATGCACATTGCATGCTCAAAGCGCTGACATATTACCCCTGGTCAACGAGTACAGAACACTCCCTGTGGAGAATACAACCGGTCGCCTGTGAGGCGCTCAAGGTTCAAATTCAGACTACCATCGTATCATACCCGGTACCCAATTTTACTGCTGGGTGGACAGAGGCAAGTTTGAACAAACTCACTTGCCTAAGGTGAGACCACATGTATCACATGTGCTTCGTCGTGGGGCAGGACTGAAGTCCTAGATACTCTCAGGAGTCAAGCTGCCAAACACGGTCACCCATCCGAGGACTGTCCGCGACCACCGTTGCTTAACTGATTGTGACCTGAGCTCTACGCACAGGACCACACACCGCCACAATTAAGGGTATTTGAGTTTATACAATTGAAGTGGTTGATGTAAGGTTGATGTACAGAATGTTGACATCATCAGGTTTGTGGATTTTCTTGAGAGGCGGTCTATCAGCACCAAAAGACTAGCGCCACAGATGAACAGGAATCAAGGGGTTTACCTACCCAATGCCTGGGAAATCAATTAGGTTCATGGCTTCACCAATCACCTCTTAATCCACTGTAACAGCCTCAACCCTGCCTTTGGTGAAATACGCAATGCCATTTTAGAAAGTGGTCAAATGTAACATATGTTATATTTGGGATTACACTTTCTCAGTAAGGTGCCTTTTGTATCTTATCCCAGCTTTTGTATATCATTAGGCTATCAGCCACCCTATTGTACACCAATTAGACTCCTTGGCTTCTATCACTTACCCACTTAATCCACTGTAACAACACCATATCTGCTTTTGTATATTTTAGTCTCTTTCATCTTATAATCCCCTATTTATTGTATATACATGCTTAAAATCACTCTGGCTTCATGTACATTACGAGTATATATATCCTGTATATCTGTTATTTAGCATTCACTTGACGACGGGGCAAGGAATAGCCGAGAAACGTTGTGCATACAATAAAGAAGAAGTTGACATCCATAATATTTTGTCTCATAAATAGGTTTGTTGTAATTATGTTTCCCGTCCAGAGAGGCACATCAAGTCAGCATATTCTATCAGCCAACGGTAAACTAATATATATTGCAATAAAAAGTTTTCCGCTTCAAAACCGTCATTCGCAATAAAATTGACAAAAAATCGTTTCCACAATCATTTAAAACATGTGCATAAACAGCTGGATAGATAATAATTTATACATACATTTCATTACTCGTCGAGATATCACAGGTGATTGTTTATTACACCATGAAATTTATGTCGAGTTATTGATACAAGTTAAAGCGTTTAATTCTTTTCAATAATACGTGTATTGTGTGCATCGTTAATATGTAGGTATATATTGTTAATAATTATACACATGTGATTCCTATAAGCAAAACCTATTTATCAATTTTCATTTATTGCATTGTGCAAGTGCAATTACCAATTTCATAGTATGTGTTCGACATTTTTCCCTTTTTGAGGTAGCCCTGTATTCTAGACAGTTAATCAATTATGTTTAAAGAGTTTTAGGTTTGCAATCGAACAAGGTAATACGATAGGTCAAACTTGAGCATTAAATACCTGACACGAGTGTATCACATCCCACCTGACACGAGTGTATCACATCCCACCTGGCACGAGTGTATCACATCCCACCTGACACGAGTGTATCACATCCCACCTGACACGAGTGTATCACATCCCACCTGACACGAGTTTATCACATCCCACTTGACACAAGTGTATAACACCTGAGAGAGCCACATCACACCACACCTAACATAACCACATCACAACGTACACAACCATATGGCACCTGACAGAACCACATCGCACCTGACAGAACCACATCGCACCTGACAGAACCACATCGCACCTGACAGAACCACATCGCACATGACTGAACCACATCACACCTGACAGGACCACATCACACCTGACAGAACCACATCACACCTGACTGAACCACATCACACCTGACAGAACCACATCGCACCTGACAGAACCACATCACACCTGACAGGACCACATCACACCTGACTGAACCACATCACACCTGACTGAACCACATCACAACGTACACAACCATATGACACCCGACAGAACCACATCCCACCTGACACGAGTGTATCACATCCCACCTGACACGAGTTTATCACATCCCACTTGACACAAGTGTATAACACCTGAGAGAGCCACATCACACCACACCTAACATAACCACATCACAACGTACACAACCATATGGCACCTGACAGAACCACATCGCACCTGACAGAACCACATCGCACCTGACAGAACCACATCGCACCTGACAGGACCACATCACACCTGATAGAACCACATCACACCTGACAGAACCACATCACACCTGACAGGACCACATCACACCTGACAGAACCACATCACACCTGACAGGACCACATCACACCTGACAGAACCACATCACACCTGACAGAACCACATCACACCTGATAGAACCACAACACACCTGACAGGACCACATCACACCTGATAGAACCACATCACACCTGACAGAACCACATCACACCTGACAGAACCACATCACATCACACCTGATCAGACTACATGTGGCAGCGATGCACCACAAAGGGTTAACCGCTGTTGTTTTCAATCAACATGGTTTTCATATTGCCTTAGTTTTACAATCACATGTTATTCTATATCCAACTGTACAGATCAGAGCGTTATTAAATTCGCAGGAATGTTATTTATCTAAAACTAAATCTATACGTCATCGTAATATAATATCGCTAAATGCCGAAGGCAAACGAACATCAATCCGACGATACCTAACGATCTTTCAATATCTGCCTTTCAAAGACAACAAGATGTAACATCCATTGAAATTGTGCTACAGAAAGACATCGATGAATCTCCAAATGCACACAGTAAAATAGAAGAACAAGCGAGAGGTGAGGTGATGAAGGAGGAGGGGGTAAGGGCGTGGAGGGGATGGGCAAGGGGATGCAGATTGGAATCATCACAAGAAGAAAAGACAGCATGGCTTCATTTCCTCATCCACCATCCCCCAAACGATGCAATTCCCCCCGCTCTTTCTTGATTGCTGCAACCAATATCTGTGTATCTACATCCAGGCCACGTCCGGATTTAGCCAATTTTGATTTAGCGCTAACCTTGACACTGAATATAAACCGGGATATGGTTCCAATATTGGTAGGCTGATATCTGATTAACAAGCTGTGGTATGGACGAGGCTGACCTCGATTGCTCTGAAGGTATCGGGTGTGTTCGCGGCTTTGGATCAACTGGCGTTAAGCTAAGACGTGTTTCCATCATGAGATGAGATGGTCTGTGGTCAGTTCCTATTGATAACTTTTCTGTCTCCCGTACAAATAGGTTCTTTTACAGGTTGCAAGCTATAGTAACAATTACTGCCCATAGTAAAAACAATGCTAGTCAATATCTGTAAATGGCCAAGTGCACAATCTTTCCTTTCGTTTTTATTTTTAAATTTGGAATATTTGAATGTTTTTGTTTTAATTTACTGTCGGCTAATTTAGATATATATACACCAGAAAATGAAGAAAGTCTCAGGGCACCTTTTCATTATTTTTTGTCTTTGAGCTTTTTTTCGTAAAATATGTCCATTTCAGAGAGTAGTTGCTAGTCTAACGTTGTATTAACATATACTGATATAGTGTTTGGCTATGTTGAAATATACTCATACCAATAATGGTTGTCACCCCCTTCAATTTTTTTATTGGAGGGGTGTGGGGTGATGTGTGGGGTTGGGGTGGGGAGGGGGTGACAACCATTATTGGCATGAGTATATGTGAATATACTGAGACAAACAAATTTAGGAACATGGTGTGACAAGATCAGTTATGACTGAATAAAACTATTTCTTGAAAGGAAAATACAAAGGCAGATAATCACAAAGATAATTCAAAAGGAAAGTATACCTTTTTGTCTAACGAAGTACAGTCCGTAAATTTTGCACAGTCATATTAAATCGACAGACCAAGTCTGATGATTTGTCTCATAATTTTGGACACCCAAATAAAAATGTTGTTTAACAAACGATCATTATTTTGTTGTCACTTTTCGCTATTTGTTACGAGGGGGTGTCACTTTCTGGTGGAACAGCCAGGTGTGCGAGTTGCACGTGGGAAAAGGAATTTCACTACACACGCTTGTTGATCACTCACTCACGCCTTGCTAAAACCGCTTTAAGCAGCACTGTTTAAGTACGAATCAGCTGACATATGTCTTGTCAACAGGTACCCCTGGTTTGCCGAGTTGGGTCTGAGGTGGTACGCTCTCCCGGCGGTGTCGGCCATCTTGTTTGACTGCGGCGGCTTGGAGTTCACCGCAGCCCCCTTCAACGGCTGGTTTATGGGGACAGAGATCGGGGCCAGAGACTTCTGTGACGTCTCCCGCTACAACATCACTGAGGTACGACAACCACTTTTGATGTGCATACATTGCTTACACTGTGTAGGGTGTGCTAAATATTGCTAACACAGGCGTTGAATGTGATCAGGGACCCGTTCCTCAAAGCGATCGTGGCGCTAAGATGATCGTAACTCCCATACTTCAACATAGACCTACGACTGTCGTAGCGCTACGATCGCTTTGAGGACCGGGACCCAGGTTGCTAACACGACGTTGAATGTGCTGTAGTTGCTAACACGACGTTGAATGTGCTGTAGTTGCTAACACGACGCTGAATGTGCTGTAGTTGCTAACTCGACGTTGAATGTGCTGTAGTTGCTAACACTGAAGTGTTTGTGGTTAAATTGCATACGCGGAGTTGGGTAGGATGACGTTGCTTGTTATAGCTGGTTAGAGTTGTTTTTTTAAATGGTTACATTGCTGGCCGTTACTGGCCTCGCACGAAGCTACATGTGGTTACATTACTTGTATGAGGCCAGCTGTCATTACTGGCCTCCCAACAAGCTAGATATGAGTCATTACTTGAATGAGGCCAGCTGTCATTACTCGGCTCCCACGAAGCTAGACATGGTTACATTACTTGTATGAGGCCAGCTGTCATTACTGGCCTCCCAACAAGCTAGATATGAGTCATTACTTGAATGAGGCCAGCTGTCATTACTGGGCTCCCACGAAGCTAGACATGGTTACATTACTTGTATGAGGCCAGCTGTCATTACTGGCCTCCCACGAAGCTAGATATAAGTCATTACTTGAATGAGGCCAGCTGTCATTACTGGGCTCCCACGAAGCTAGACATGGTTACATTACTTGTATGAGGCCAGCTGTCATTACTGGCCTCCCACGAAGCTAGATATGAGTCATTACTTGAATGAGGCCAGCTGTCATTACTCGGCTCCCACGAAGCTAGACATGGTTACATTACTTGTATGAGGCCAGCTGTCATTACTGGCCTCCCATGAAGCTAGATATGAGTCATTACTTGAATGAGGCCAGCTGTCATTACTGGCCTCCCACGAAGCTAGACATGGTTACATTACTTGTATGAGGCCAGCTGTCATTACTGGCCTCCCACGAAGCTAGACATGGTTACATTACTTGAATGAAGCCAGCTGTCATTACTGGCCTCCCACGAAGCTAGATATGAGTCATTACTTGAATGAGGCCAGCTGTCATAACTGGGCTCCCACGAAGCTAGACATGGTTACATTACTTGAATGAGGCCAGCTGTCATTACTGGCCTCCCACGAAGCTAGATATGAGTCATTACTTGAATGAGGCCAGCTGTCATTACTGGCCTCCCACGAAGCTAGATATAAGTCATTACTTGTATGAGGCCAGCTGTCATTACTGGGCTCCCACGAAGCTAGACATGGTTACATTACTTGTATGAGGCCAGCTGTCATTACTGGGCTCCCAAGAAGCTAGATATGAGTCATTACTTGAATGAGGCCAGCTGTCATTACTGGGCTCCCACGAAGCTAGATATAAGTCATTACTTGAATGAGGCCAGCTGTCATTACTGGCCTCCCACGAAGCTAGATATGAGTCATTACTTGAATGAGGCCAGCTGTCATTACTGGGCTCCCACGAAGCTAGATATGAGTCATTACTTGAATGAGGCCAGCTGTCATTACTGGGCTTCCCACGAAGCTAGATATAAGTCATTACTTGAATGAGGCCAGCTGTCATTACTGGGCTCCCACGAAGCTAGATATAAGTCATTACTTGAATGAGGCCAGCTGTCATTACTGGGCTAGATCCCTTGAATGAGGCCAGCTAGAAGCTAGAAGTCATTACTTGTATGAGGCCAGCTGTCATTACTCGGCTCCCACGAAGCTAGACATGTTACATTACTTGTATGAGGCCAGCTGTCATTACTGGCCTCCCACGAAGCTAGATATGAGTCATTACTTGAATGAGGCCAGATGTCATAACTGGGCTCCCACGAAGCTAGATATGAGTCATTACTTGAATGAGGCAACCATTATTGGCATGAATATATAATGATTACATAGCGTTCAGAAAGCCGATATGGCTGCACTTTATGTACAGCGGTAGTTCTGCTGGATTTACTTAGTTTCAGCAATCCTGTGAATATACGTCTCTGGTTGCAGATGTTACATTACTTGTGCGGTAAATGTGGCCACATGACGACACTGTAATCCCCAATCCTGTTACTATTGATATACGTTGTGCAATAAGTTAAAGAGATGTTTCAACACCCACTGTATCAGCACAACCCGACGTGGGAAGCAAGTGATCATTGACATTTTACCCAGCGTATTAGTGTTATATTCCTTTGGCATATGACATACCTGTTCGTGTTTTGACGCAGTGATAAACGCAACTGTTAAGTTTAACTTCATAGTATGGTGTTATTCCCAGGCAAAGATGAGTCATTATCAATTGAACAGATAGCGTAACACACGATATCATATAACTTGCGGACATTTCTCTAATAGTTTTAGGGGCGGTGGGGTAGCCTAATGGTTAAAGCGTTCGCTCGTCACGCCGAAGGCCCGGGTTCGATTCCCCGCATGGGTACATTGTGTGAAGCCCATTTCCGGTGTCCCCCGCCGTGATATTGCTGGAATATTGCTAAAAGCGGCGTAAAACAAAACTCACTCACTCACTCAAATAGTTTTACTTTTATCATATTTATTAAATATATGGGCGGTGGGGTAGCTTAGTGGTTAAAGCGTTCGCTCGTGACGCCGAAGACCCGGGTTCGATTCCCCACATGGGTACTTACTAAACAGTTAAACGATTTGAAACCAATTATAGCCTACTAAATATGTACTTTAGCTTCTTTGAGAGGCAGGTAGAAATTGGAGCAATAGGGAAGGATAATAATATGTGGATTAACAAGTTCTTTATTATAGATATATATATAGACCGCCTCCGTGGTGTAGTGGTTAGAGCGTCCGCCCGGAGAGTGGAAGGTCGCGGGTTCGATCCCCGACCGCGTCATACCAAAATACGTTTAAATATGGTACTTGTTGGTTCCTGCCTGGCGCTCGGCATTAATGGGCACAATAAGGACTGGTCGGCTCGGAGCCAGTATAATGTGTCTGAGTGTGGTATTCATGCTTCACTGCGGCATGGTATCTCAGTGGGCTAGCACTTTAAAACCAGCTTCAGTCTGGGCTAGTACAAGCAGTCGCACATACACATACACACGCATGCACGTCGTCATATGAGCGAAATATTCTCAAGCACGACGTTAAACCCAATTTCACCTCACCTAGATGTAGAGCCACAATATCAAAAGTTTCCGGTTTAGAGAGGTTACTCTTTACACAGAGATTTGCCACAGTCCCAGCGTTCGAAATAATCGCCGGCCCGGAGGCCCAGCGCCGGTTGTTACTGTATCGGGCCGGGAGTTTCAAATATTTGCAGGCCCTGGTGGCCTTCAGTAAATTATCTGTCAATGTTTTGGGTTGTTTTGTCAACTGGAATCTTTCCCATATTGTTTTTCTTTATCAACGTTTGGGAATCATCCATGATCCATCATGTTACGTTACTTACAGTTTCACTTTCTGGTATTTCAGCGCTTTGTGCATAGGAATGTCAACAGCAGTCTTTAACAAATAAAAACATCTCTCAGCGCCATAGGTTTCGCTAATTGAAACAGTGTGAAACTGTGTACAGTGTAATCTGTTTTGTTTTCATTGGTTTGACTTTAACAAAATGGACCTGCAGATTTCATTCAGGGCCTGTAGCTATTAAAGCCTGCAGGCGGCAGCAGGCCCTGATGGCCAAGTGGCAAAGTAAAGTATTGCAAACACTGCACAGTCCACGAAACTTTTAAAACGAACCAATTATTGGGAGTACCTATCTTGTGACGTGAATACTTTGTAAACCCGGTATTGTGAAACGACTTAGCATTGGTGTCCCTTAATCAAACAGTTGTGTTTATCATTAAAAAAATTAATACTAAAAGACAATTAACACTCGATGAGAAGCCTTTGCTCTTGAACATGGATATTCGAAACATTTCTTGCTTTCGATTTATGCCACACACAAAAATTCTTAAAGAATTCAGGCTATCAAGTTTAATGAAAACGATGTCTGGTTTTGAACCTTTTGATGGAGAATATCTAAGCTTCATACAAAATAAACTAAAAAATCCAAACGTAAACAAATTGATATTTGAACAATTCGTTTCAAATGCATACTGCTTGTTCGTGACACAAACAATATAATTTATCGACGTGTTGAGGACTGTTATCGTGACGGATGAAGCAGACAATTCATCTGTGAAGTAAAATCATCTCGAATTATAACACACATAAAATGTTTCTCTCACGGCGCTGATATTCATAACACCCAATGTTCTAGGTAATGAAATATACAGCGCCGTATTGATCCCATCGTCCTGAAACTTGATACTCTTGGTGGCACACATAACACGTAATCTCGCCCACAACGAGACTTGACTCTCATACCATGAGTATCGCGGCTTATCGCTTTATCAGCTAGATAATAATTACTCCATAAAAGAATATTGAGCCATCTCATAATTCATATGTTTGGCATATAATCCAAATTAACATCGCGTTATTGTCATGCTCCTATTGTTCATCGTTTGAAGGTGTTTACGCCGTCGCCATAATTGGATGTCTGCTTGCGTTTGCTGATAATGTCCACTTTTATGTAGAATTGAGATGGCTATCAAACAAGGGGATTTAATTTGGCGTTATTTACGTTATTTTTTCGTATCTCGGGTTATTTTGCCCCCATCACATCCATGAATGTCGGCCGGACAAATATTAGAACTTCACGACTTGCCCTAAAGCAGTACTTCAACGACGCCGACATACGGCAGGGATCATGAAAGATTTGATTGGTCCTCCTTTGTACCCGCGCCATCTGTCGGCAGGTTATACGGCGTCAGTAAGGGTTATCTCTTGCTTTGATAAAGTATTATGCATAGAAGAATCTATGAAACTTGCCCGTGATTTGTGAAAGCGACCGTCATACATACCAAGTAGATG